TGAGATGGAGTATTGAAGTCCCCCAGTACTATTGTATTGGAATCTAACTCTCCCCTTAAGTCCCTTAACATATCTTTTAAATAAACCAGTGCCCTGTAGTTAGGTGCATATACATTGATAATCGTTATATCTTTCTGTTGTATTGATCCCTTAATCATTATATAGTGTCCCTCTTTGTCTCTCTTAACAGTTTTTGTGGTAAAGTTTATGTTGTCTGATATTAGGATGGCTACACCCACTCTTTTTCATCTCTGTTGACATGGTATATCTTTTTCCAGCCTTTCACTTCGTCTGCATGCATCTTTGTTGGAAAGATGTGTTTCTTGTAAGCAGCAAATAGATGGGTTTTGTTCCTTAACCCATTCAGCCAATCTGTGTCTTTTAACTCTAGAGTTGAGGCCATTAACGTTCAATGTGACTATTGATTAGTAGTAACTTTGCCCTGCCATTTTCTCAAAGATATTTTCTAATATGTGCTTTGAACTTCCTCTGATCTTTTGCTGTGAGGTTTCCTTACTTTACCTTCTTTCATATTGATGCCCGTGTTTATATCTTTGTGTTTAACACATCTTTAAACATGTTTTGCAGTGCTGGACGAGTGGCGACATATTCTTTCAATTTCTGTTTGCTCTGAAAGGTCTTTACTTCACCTTGATCCACAAATGAGAGCTTTGCAGGATATAATATTCTGGGCTGGCAGTTTTTCTCTCTTAATATCTGGGCAATGTCTCACCATTCCCTCCTAGCCTGTAGGTGCTGTGAGTCTAATTGGAGATTAGATTTCTCTTCACTATCACACTTTCCTGTTCAACTAATTTCTGCATTTCATTTTGATTCCTCCTTAAGATTTCATTTTCATGAGAGAGATTTTCTATCCTGTCCAGTAAGGATTTCTGTAGTTCAAGAATTTGTTTTTGAAAAATTCTAAATGTTTTTATCATAAATTTTTTTGAAATCCGTATCCTGCATTTCTTCTATCTCATCATCTTCATAATCTTGGCTTGGGGTGTCTTGTTCATTTGGGGGCGTGATAATGTCTTCCTTGTTCTTGTTTCCTCGGTTTCTGCATTTGTTGCTTGGCATTGTGGAGATATTCTTTGGATTCTTCTTCCCTCGCTGTGGTGTTTTTTCTTGTTATACACTATAACTGTATTAAGTGGACTGTCTGCTTTTGATGGAGCCTTAGAGGCTTGAGATGGTTGTGGCCAGAATGCTCTGTTTGGTTCTTCAGGGTTAAGGGTCTGCCACAGGTGACACACCCAGGTTAGGCATGGTACATCTCTCTCTCTCTGTCTCTCTCTCTCTTTCTTTTTTTTTTTTTTTGATTCAGAAGGGAAGAATTTCCGCACAGCTGAGCGGAATATTAGGCAGTCAGCTTCTGATCTCTGGCTCCTGTGGGTTCAACATTCATCTGCTCTTTCCCAAGGATGACACCAAGACTCTGTGGTACCCCGACTGTGGGCTCAAATTCCCTTGCAGTCTCCCACCAGGTTGCCAAGGTTACCAAATTGTAGCGTCTCTGGCGAGTACTCACATAAACTCTGAGTTCTCTCACCCACCATCTCTTTTTTCACAATCTCAGTTCATTAGCTCCATGCATTCACTAGGTCCTAACCTTCTGTTATTTCACCCCCCCAGAGTCAGGTTTTTCTGGTTGGCTGATGGCGGGCACTGCTTTAAGTATGTCCAAAATGACGCCTGCTCTTTGTCTTGCTTGCTTTTTAGAGGTGAGCGGAGAGAGAGAGACTTGTGTCCATACTGGTCCCCCCTTTTTTTTCCTCTCTCCTCTAGTTAGCCTGATGAATTTTCCCCCACAAGACTTCAAGCCCTTAATGAGAAACCACTACAGATTTTTTGGTTTGTTTGGGGGATTTATTTGTTTATTTGAAAGTCAGAGTATCAGAGAGGGAGGGAGAGACAGAGATGTTTCATCCACTGGCTATAAGAAGCCAGGAGCCGGGGGCCCCACGTTGTCTCCCCACAAGGGTGACAGAGGCCCAAACAATCGACCCACCCTCAACAGCCATTCCTCAGGCCTCTAAAAGGGTGCTGGATCAGAAGTGGAGCAGCCAGGGCAGGCACTGTTCCCCACAATGGATTCCAGCGCTGCTGGTGGCCCTACCCACTACACCACAACACTGGTATCTGGCCTCACTGTTTTTGACCATACTTGTAAGAACAGTCTTCTGAGAAGTGCACGGCTGCCCCATCTCAGTTGATTTTTTATAAATGATGAGAGATATGGATCTAATTCCATTCTTCTACACGAATACATCGAGCTTTGCCAGCACCGTTTGTTGAAGAGATTATCCTTACACCGATGAAAGGTCTGAACCCTTTTGTCAAAAATCAGGTGGCCATAAGTATTTAGATTAACTTAGGGATTCTCTGTTTCGCTCCATTGGTATGTATCAGTTTTTTTATTGCCAGGCACATGGTGTTTTAATTAGTACACTTTTTTAGTACGCTGTGAAGTCAGGTATTGTGATGTCTCCAGCTTGATTTTTATTTCATCAGGATCACCTTAGCGGTTCTGGATCTTCTGTGGTTCTGTATGAATTGGAGGGTTGTTTTTTCTAATTCTGTAAAGAATGTCATTGGTATTCTGTAGATTTCTTTCCATGAAATAGATATTTTAATGATACACATTCTGCCAATCCACAAATAAGGAATATCTTTCCTTTTTTTGTGTGTGTCCTTGATTATTCTTTGGTCAGTGTTTGATAATTTTTATTGTAGAGCTCTTTCACTTATTTGATTAAATTTATTCCTAAATATACTGATTTTTGAACATTGCATTTGCTGTGTCCCATACATTTTGTTATGTTGTACTGTTATCTTCAATCATTTCCAGAAATTTCTTGATTTCCATTTTGATTTCTCCTACGACCCACCATTCATTCAGGAGCATGTTCCTCGGTCTCCATGTATTTGCATATGTTCTGGAGTTTCTTGAGTTGTTGATTTCCCGTTTCCTTGCATTTTGGTCATAGAAGATGGGTGAAATGATTTCAGTCATTGAGTTTACTAGGCTTGCTTCTGGCCTATCATATGTTGTGTCCTAGTGAATGTTCCAGGGACTGATGAGAAGAATGTGTATTCTGCTAGTGTGAGATGAAAAGTTCTGAGTTAGGACTTCAAACAAGGCAGCCTGTTCCCCAGGACACAGTGATGAGTGACTGCGTCATCTATAATTGTGACATAATGAAAGGGCTAGGAAACGACCAAGAGAAGACAGTTCAGGTGTTCTTGTAAGATACCGTTTTTTAGTTAAGAGGTCCAAATTCCATGCATTTCATAAATGCAATTTAGGTACACGGTGATAGTCCCAACCCTCCCTCCCTGTCTGTGGCACAACACATTGCACACTTGGTTGTCTGACTCCAGGCAGCAGCCCCAGAACTGACCAGGCCACGATGCTGGGTGGGTATCTGCCGTTCAGTAGCCGTGACCATGGGCAGTTTGGCAGAGCTGTGCACCATGTGGGAGTGGCTGGGTGTTAGCACGGGAGGTGTAGAGAGCTCCACACTGCCCTGAGCTTCTGGTGGGCTGGATTGGGAGCAACAATGCCCTTGGAGTGCTCCTGATCATGGTGAGTACAGGAAAGGCATGTCAGGCTGGGGCTCAGGCTGCAGCCCGTGGTTCTTCAAGGTAGTGTGGCCTCTTCCGCTGACACTGTGTATTCTTGGAGGAAGGGGCAGGTGTTAGTTGGATGGTGCTTGCATAGTAGGCCTCGGGGAGAAGTAGGTGATGTCTGTGGGAGTGGTGTCGAGGTTGAGGCCAGCTGGCAGTGGCATTGGCGGTAGTGTTACGGTAGGCTTGGAGAGTGCATGAGGGATTTGCTGCGTTTAAGCTTACGGACAGAGAGATGCCCAGGGCCTGCCTCAAAGGATTTGGGAACCGGGGCTTCCCAGTGGCATTCTCCCCCGAAATCTGCAGATTCAGAGGCAGTGGGGGTGGGCGGTGGCTCAGCCATGAGGAAACCCAGAAGCAGATGCTTGCCTCCCCTCCTGCCTCCCAGAGGACACGGATGTGAAATTAACCCAGAGTAGACTAGTGTTCTCTAGTAATTTGATGATACTGAGTTTTAGATTTCGTTCCTTGAAGTGTTTTTAGTTGCTTTTTTTTTTTTTTTGACAGAGTGGACAATGAGAGAGAGAGATAGAAAGGTCTTCCTTTTCCGTTGGTTCACCCTCCAATGGCCACTGCAGTCGGCGCATTGTGGCCAGCGCACCACACTGATCTGAAACCAGGAGCCAGGAGCCACGTGCTTCTCCTGGTCTCCCATGTGAGTGCAGGGCCCAAGGATCCGGGCCATCCTCCACTGCACTCCTGGGCCACAGCAAAGAGCTGGCCTGGAAGAGGGGCAACCGGGACAGAATCCGGTGCCCCGAACGGGATTAGAAACCGGTGTGGTGCGCCGCAGGTAGAGGATTAGCCTATTGAGCCACAGCGCCAGCCATTTAGTTGCTTTTTGTAGGTGTAAAAGGTATGGGTCTTCTTTCAGAGTTCTGCATATCTGTGCAGTTTTCTCAGGACCATTTTTTGAAGAAACTGTCCCTTGCACTTGGGATTGATCTTCAGCTCCTTCTTGAAAGATAGATTAGTTGTAGATATGTGTGTGTTATTTCAGATGTTTCTTTTCTGTTCCTTTGTTCTGTATGTCAGTTTTTTTACTATACCAAGCTGTTTTGATTGTAACTGTCCTGTGCTGTGTCTTGCAATCTGTTATTGCGATGCTTCAAGTTTTGTCAATGTTGTATAAGGTTGCTTTCTCTATTCAGATGTTCTGTGTTTTCATATGAATTTTAGCATTGTTTTCTCTCCATCTGGGCAAAATGCTATTTGACCTTTGCTAAGGATCCCATTGTGTCTGTAAATTGCTTATGGTAGAATGGATATTTGCATTATGTTGATTTTGCCAGTGAGTCAGCATGGAAGATTTTTCCATTTTTGGGTGTCTTCTTCCATTTCTTTAATGTTTTATAACTTTTTTGTAGACGTTTTCATGGATATGAAATTGGACACTGAGTTGACAAGGAAGTTCAGCTGCTGGGTAATCTTCCATTTCTGGAACCTCCTTGGCTTCCTGGTAAAACCCAGCTGTGCCTTTACCCTGGACAGGAGCAACTGGTTAGTACATGTGGCTGTGTCCTGTTGATGGCAGTCCTTGGGCCCAAAGGGGAGCGGAGGGAAGGGAAGGGAACCCTGTTCCCTGCAGTTGGGCTGGCAGGCTGAGAACAAGGTGGACTTCCAACCTTTGGGATGGAGGGTCAAGTCGGGGAGCCCTATATACATGTAGAGACAGAAATGTGGAGGCCTAGCATTCCTAGAATTGAGTGGGGGCCACAGAGACAGAGGTGAATAAGATGTTGGTGAATGAGTTCCCTGGTTCTTTGTAGTTTATTAAGGGCCATAGAACATGCTAAGAAGGGAAGACTGGTTGTCCAGCCGTGGGAGGGAGACCTGGAAGGAGAACTGCATGTGTTGACTCAGAGTACAAAACATAAGATGTATGGTTTTGGGAGACATGGTAGTAGTTGTTTGGGTTTTAGAGTTTCAAGCTAAGGACAATGGGATTGTAAGTACTTCATGCAGCGGCAGTAGAGGGTTAGATTCAATGGAAGAACCTAGGGCATGCAAGGTTTTGGGAGCTGAAAACAGGTTATTTCTGTATGTCACTATCCTGTGATAGGGAATATGGAAGGATTGTATGGAGAAAGGCAGGCGACTTTTAGGAGAATTGTAATAGGGAGGAGCCGGTAGGTCTACATGTAAGTACTAGTGGAGGCCGGCGCCGAGGCTCACTATGCTGATCCTCCGCCTTGCGACTCCAGCACACCGGGATCTAGTCCTAGTCGGGGTGCCGGATTCTGTCCTGGTTGCCCCTCTTCCAGGCCAGCTCTCTGCTGTGGCCTGGGAGTGCAGTGGAGGATGGCCCAAGTGCTTGGGCCCTGCACCTCATGGGAGACCAGGAGAAGCACCTGGCTCCTGCCTCGGATGAGCACGGTGCGCCGGCCACAGCACACCAGCCACAGTGGCCATTGGAGGGTTAACCAACAGGAAAAGGCTCTCTGTCTCTCTCTCTCACTGTCCACTCTGCCTGTCAAAAAAAAGAAAAGGAAAAAAAGAACTAGTGGAGCATCAGAGTGTTAGACCCGGGACAGGGCCTGGGGAGCAACCTTAGGAAAAGTGAGGGAAAGGGTATCAGGAGGCAGGCCGAAGGAACTTGCAGGAGGGACCTGGGAATGTGTGCTGATTTAATCATGAAATTCGACCAAAGTCTACAGAGTACCAAGAGTTGGAGAGGATCTTATCTGAAATAAAATAAGGGTTAATAGGGGGCTTGGGTACATGGAGAACCTGATTTCGCCTGGGAATGAAGTTTGTGGCTTGTAGTCAGCTTATAGAAGTCAGAATTATAGCAGAGGACTTTTTCTTGGTAAATGTGTTTTTTTTTCTTTTTTTTTGCTTTCAAAGGAGTGTCTGTGATGTACCCACATTTGTTCTAGTTATTTAAGGTATTGCAGAGAGTGTCATGAGGGTTTTTGAAAAAGTTTGTGGAAAGAGGGATTTGTAAGGTTGTTTCACTGTGTGAGAGTGCGCACGCGTGTGTGTGTGTGTGTGTGTATGTAGAGTATTATGCTTACGCATTCATCTGATGAAAATTTCTTGTTTTCGCTGCCGTGAAGCATACTGCAATAAATATTGTGGTGTACGTATCTCTCTGATACAATATGTTCATGTGTTTTCGGTTATATCCAATAGATGGGTTGCTCCATCATATGGCAAGTCTATTTCTGGTTTCTTAAAAATCTCCATACCATTTTCCACAGCAGCTGCACCAATTTACATTTCCACCACCAGTGTGTAAGTGTTCTTCTTGTCCCACATCTTCCTCATCATTGTGACTCTCCGTCCTTTGGGTTTTAGCCAGTATGTACGTGTGAGCTGATATCCCATTGTGGTTTGGATTTGCATTTCCCTCATAGGTTATGATGTTGAGCATTTCTTCCTGTATTTCTTGGCCATCTGTATATCTATGGGGAACTTTCTGTTGAGTTCCTTTGGCCATTTCATATCTGGATTGGTTGTGTTTTTTCTTGCTGCTATTTTTTCTAAGTTGCAGATGTATTCTTGATATTAATCCTTTGTCAGATAGGTAGCTGACAGATATCTTCTGCTCATTCTGTTGTATGTCTCTTCCATCTGTGATGACTTCCTTTGCTGTGCAAAGCTTTTAATTTCATTTAATCCCATTTGTTTAGTTTTGATTTTTCTGCTGGTCTTTGAGGGTCTTTTGCAAGGGCCATTGCCTATTCCAGTGCCTTCGAGCTTTTCTTTGTATTACCTTCAAAAAGCTTCATAGTCTCGGGTTATAGATTTAGGTCTCTGATCCGTTTTGAGTTGATTTTCATATTTTATGGGAGTTATGAATCTAATTTCGATGTTCTACACAGATACATCCATTTTTGCCAACAGCATTTGTTGAAGAGTTTTTCCTTACTCCAGTGGATAGGTCTGAATCCTAAAAATCTGGTGTTGTACATATTTGGATTAATATTGGAGCTCACCTTGTTTTCTTCCATTGGTCTGTGTGTCACTTTTTCTGCAAGTGCTTTGATATTTGGTTTCGTGTAGATTTGTAGAATACTTTGAATCAGATGTTGTGAGGCATCTAGGCTAATTTTGTTTTGTCTTTTTTCTCAGGAACACCTCATCTATTCTGGATCTTGTGTGATTTTGTATGAATTTTCGGTTTGTTTTATGTAATTCTGTAAAGAATGTCATCGGTGTTTGGATACAAATTTAATTGAATCTTTAGGTAGCTTTAGGTGGGTTAGAGATTTTAATTATACTGATTCTTCAAATCCACCAAAAGGGATATCTTTCCATTTTTTGTGTCCTTTGTGATTTCTTTCATCAGTGTATGGCGATTTTCATGATAGAGCTCTTTGGCTTCTTTGGTTACATTTAGTCTTAAACATTTGATTTCTGTTGTTATTATCTTTGGGATTTTTTTGATTGCTGTGTCAGTGAGTTCATCATTAAGGAATAAACACTGCTGCTTACACAGTATGCTTATTTGTAACCTGTGACTTCACTTAATTGTTTCACCAGTTCTAGCAGTGTTTTGGTGGATTGTTTTAGTTTTTTCTCATACCATAGCATGTCACCTGCAAGCATTTAGAATTTCAATTTCTCTTTTATAATCTAGCTGCTATTTCTTTCTTTCTTCTGCTTTCTTTCTCTTGTGAAAATTTACAGGACTGCATTCTGTCAGAGTGGTAAAAGGGGACATCCTTGTGTTACATGTTTGACAAAAATGCTTTCACTTTTTGCTCATCCAGCATGGCATTGGCTGTTGAGTTGTGATACATAGCCTTTATGATTTTGATACCTATTCCTTTTATACCTACTTTGTGGCGTTTTTTTTTCTTAATAATGAATGGGATTGAATCTTTTCAGGTTATTTTTCTGTATCTAATGAGATGATAATGTGTTTTTTTAAAAAAAAGCTTTATTGCATTTTTGCAAGAATTACAGAGAGAGAAACATTGTGAGAACAGGTGAGCAAGAGAGAGAGGGAGAGAGAGAGAGGTGTTATAGGCTGCAGCGGTATGGTAGGCTTGGAGAGTGCAGGAGGGATTTGCTGTATTTAAGCTTATGGGACAGAGATGCCCAGGGCATCTACCCAGCAGCATTCTCCCCCCAAATCTGCAGGTTTGGAGGCATGGGGGGGCAGCAGATCTATTGTGAGGAAGCCAAGAAGTGGATGTCTGTCTACTCTGCTCCCTCCCACAGAGCACGGATGTGAAACTCACCCAGAGTGGACGCTGAAGCTCAGCTGCTGGGTGTTCTTCCAGTTCTGGAGACTGCACAGCTTCCTGCTCAATGTCAGCTGGACCTTCTTCCGGGAGAGAAGCAACTGGTGAGCATATGTGGCCCCCTTAGTTGTGTCCATGTCCTGAGTGCACAAGGGGAAGGGAAGGGATAGCCCGTTCCCAGGGGTTGGGCGGCCCAGGCTGACACGATGTAGACTTCCACCCTGTGGCAGGGAGGGTCATGTGGGGTAGCCCCACAGGCATGGGGAGAAATGCAGGGGCCTGGTGGGCTTCAGCAGAGTGTGAGAGCATGGAAACAGGGGTGGGTAGTATGTTGGAGAATGAGTTCTCCGGGGCTCTGCAGAGCATTAGGGTCCAAAAAACATGGTAATAGGGGAATACTTGGGTATGCAGGAAATGGGAGGGAGACCTGGAGGACAAGTGTGTGCTGTTGAGTCAGAGTACAAAACCCAAGAAGTCTGGTTTGGAGAGATGTGTTAATAAAAGTTTGGGTTTTAGATTTCGGGGCTAAGAATGATGGGATTGGAAGTAAATTGTGTGGTGTGATTGGATTGTTAGATGCCATGGAAGAACCTGGGGCATGCAATGTGTTGGGAGCTGAAATCAGGTAATTTCTGTATATTGCCATCCTGGATATAGACAGGGAAATGGAAGGATTGTATGGAGGAGGTCAGGTGACTTTCAGTAGAGTTGTAATAGGGAGGAGCTGGTAGGTGTACCAGTAGAACTGGTGGAGTCTCCAAGTGTTAGATCTGGGACAGACCTTAGGAAAAGTGAGGGTAAGAAAATGGTGAGGGGTATAGTGTGGTCTTTCTTAGGGACTGTGGTATGAGTGCACGGTTAATTAGGAAACTTCAACAAAAGTCTCCGGAATACCAGGGATGGAGAGAGGCTTATGTGAGAGAAAACTGGATTGGTGTGTGCTTAGGAAGACAAGAACCTGATCTAGCCTGGATTGAAATTTGTGGCTTGAGGTCAGCTTATAGAATCTGAATTTGGGCAGAGGACTCTCTCTTGGTAAAGGTGTATTTCTTTGTCTTTCAAAGATGTTTCTGTTATGTGCCAGCATTTGTTCTCGTTATTTAATGTAATGCAGGGGCCAACATGAGGTACTTTGAAAAGTTTGTGGAAAGAAGTGGTTGCGAGTTTGCTTTCAAGACATTTTGATGAACTGCACACAGCTTTGTCGTGGTGCATATTTTCCATATCCTTCTAGGCAGCTCTGTGTGAAAGCTTCTGCTTTCATGGAGTGTTTGTTCTGATTGCTGTTTGGGGGCTGGGGATGACTTAGTCCTGCAGGACTTTACCAGGTAGGAGTTCTTGAAATATCTTCCCCTTATGTTGCAATGTATACTTTCTAGTACTTGCTATTCCTCATTTGATTTTTTCCATCTCTGATATTTCCTTTATTTTATGATCTGTCAAACCATGTCTTTTTGTTTTACACTGTCACATTGTTTAGGAATGCAAATTCTTCCTTATGTTTTACTTTATAGGATGTGTCATTCTTTACAATGCAGTGTTATTTTTGAGTCACACTTATTCTGAATTATATAGCCTTTATACTCTTACTTTTTAGGTTATTTCTACAGAAAGATTTGCAAGCTTACATTTTTATGAAAGTCAGGATTTTCCATGTACAGAATTTTATGAATGTGCAAATTTTATGTATTTAATTTTCCTGAAATGTGAGTGCTTACCTGTTTTATATAAATTTCTATTAAAGATTGATGTTGTATCCAGTGTATGTATTTGTTTTTTTATTTTTTTATTTTTGACAGGCAGAGTGGACAATGAGAGAGAGAGACAGAGAGAAAGGTCTTTCTTTTGCTGTTGGTTCACCCTCCAATGGCCGCTGCAGCTGGCGTGCTGCAGCCGGCGCATCACGCTGCTCTGAAGGCAGGAGTCAGGTGCTTCTCCTGGTCTCCCATGGGGTGCAGGGTCCAAGGACTTGGGCCACCCTCACTCACTCCTGGGCCATAGCAGAGAACTGGCCTGGAACAGGGGCAACTGGGACAGAATCTGGCGACCCAACCGGTACAAGAACCCGGTGTGCCGGCACCTCAAGGTGGAGGATTAGCCGATTGAATCACGGCACCGGCTTGTATTTGTTTTTTAGGCTAAAATAATTCTTGGGTATATTTTATAGAACAATTCTAAGAATAAACGACATTCCTTTTTTTTTTGACAGAGTGGACAGTGAGAGAGAGAGAGAGAGAGAGAAAGAAAGAAAGATCTTCCTTTGCCTGGTTCACCCTCCAATGGCCGCTGCAGCCAGTGCACTGGGGCTGGCGCATTGCGCTGATCCAAAGGTAGGAGCCAGGTGCTTCTCCTGGTCTCCCATGGGTTGCAAGGTCCAAGCACTTGGGCCATCCTCCACTGCACTCCTGGGCCATAGCAGAGAGCTGGCCTGGAAGAGGGGCAACTGGGACAGAATCCAGCACCCCGACCAGGACTAGAACCCAGTGTGCGGGTGCCTCTAGGCAGAGGATTAGCCTGTTGAACCACGACGCCGGCTGATATTCCCTTTTCTGCTCTCCTTTCAACACTGTCTTTCCCAGTGTACCTCTTCCTTTCTTTCTCCCTTTGTTCCTCCCTTCCTTACTTCCTTTCTTTCATCCATTTTTGGATGGTTTTTATATTTGCATTTTAGTAAAAGGCTAAGTGCTTTACCAAATAAGAAGTTCAGTAACCAAAAAGTAGGGTTGAGCCAATATTTGGCATCCCATACAGGTGCTGGTTCAAATCTCATTTACTCCACTTCTTTTTTTTCAAGATCTATTTATTTATTTCAAAGACAGTGTTACAGAGAGGCAGAGGTAGAGAGAGCAAGTAAGAGGTCTTCCATCCTCTGGGTCACTCCCTGGAAGGCCACAGCTACCAGAGGTGCACTGATCCAAAGTCAGGGGCCAGGAGCTTGCTCAGGGTCTTCCTACACAGTTGTAGGGGCCCAAGGACTTGGGCCATCTTCTACTGTTTTCCCAGGCTATAGCAGAGAGATGGATCAGAAGTTGAAAAGCTTAGACTTGAACGGGCACCCATACGGGATGACGGCACTGCAGGAGGTGGCCTTACTCATTATGCCACAGCACCGGTCTCTACTGCATTTCTGATCCAGCTCCATGCTAAAGCACCAAAGCATCAGAGGACAGCCCAAGTGCTTGTGACTTAGGAGCCATGTGGGTCACCTGGAAAAAGCTCCTGGCTCCTGTCATCATCTTGGTGCAGTCCTGGCTGTTTTGGCCCTTTGAGAAGTGAACCAGCAGATGGAAGATCTATCCCTCTTTCTCTCTCTCTGTATGTAACAGTGTCTTTGTAATAAACAAAGTAAATCTCATAAAATTAAGGGAAGAACAGAAACCCTAGTTTATAGGGAATATAAGCAACAAGTATAATCAGTGGAATGAAAAAATGACCATTTTTCCCATACACCCTAAATTTAAAGTAATCACAGATCATTACAACTATACTAATGCTACATTCTTTTTTCTTTTCAAAATTTTTTTTAAGATTTACTTTTACTTACTTAAAAGACAGAATTACTGAAAGAGGTGTAGAGGTAGAGAGAGTGGTCTTCCCTTTGCTGGTTCATTCCCCAAATGGCCACAATGGCTATAAATGAGCCGATCCAAAGTTATGAACCAGGAGCTTCTTGCGGGTCTCCCACGTGGGTTCAGGGCCCCAGGACTTGGGCCATCTTCTACCGCTTTCCCAGGCCATAACAGAGAGCTAGATCAGAAGAGGAGCATTGGGGTCTAGAACCTGTGCCCATGTGGGATGCTCACCTTTCAAGCCTGGGATTTAACACACTGCCACACAGCCCCTACCCCTTCAATTGTTTTTAAAATGAATGAAAAGAGAACATATTTCATGAATTGTGTAGGTACAGTTCTAAGAATAAACCCAGAATTTCCTCTCTTCCCCTTTCCCCTCCTTCCTTTCCTCTTTTCATCTATTTTTCATGATATGATTATAATCCATGTAATATTCAGGGTAACAATAATATTCATAGGAAAAAGGTACAAAGAATAAAGTTCTACTGGAGCAGTATGATCTTTTATTTTAGGACATTAAATTAAAAAAAAAAACAGTTTTCTTGAGAGGCATTGTTACAGAGAGAGGGAGGCGTAGAGTTAGAGGTCTTCCATAAATATGGGTTCATTCCACAGATGGCCACAATGTCTGGAGGTGGCCCAGTGCAAAGCCAGGAACCAAGAGTTTCTTCCATCTTTCCCACTATGTTGCAGGGGCCCAAGCCTTTGGGCCATCTTCCATTGCTTTCTCAGGCCATCAGCAAGGAAGAGGATTGGAAGTGGAGCAGCTGGACTTAAACTGGTGCCCATATGGGATGCCGGCACTACAATGGATGCTTAACCTACTATGCCATAATTCCAGATCCAGTATTCTGTTCTTAACCATTGTTTTGTCCAGTTTTCAAACAAAGTTTTATAGGAGTATATTTGCGACAGTAGTGATACACATTCACATTTATATTTCTTTTTTTGTGTTTTGATTTTTTTCAAAAAGTTAACTTTCACATGTAAGGTAATACATGTGGTATTTTTCTTTTTCTGGCTGATTTCTCTAAGATGAAGTCCTCCAGTAGCTCCATTTTGATGCACTTGATAAAATTTCATTATTTTTAATCCTGCAGTACATTTCATTGTAGATCTATACCATGTTTTCCTTATGCATTCATCTGATGATAGAAATCTTTGTTTAATCTTTATAAATAAATCCATGTTTATTCCTTGTGATTGCTGTGAACCATATTGCAATCCACATGGTGGTGGAGGTATCTCTTTGATAAAATAATGTTCATTTCTTTTGGGTGTAGACCCAGTGGTGGGATTGCTGAAGCATATGGCTGGTTTGTTTCTGTTTTTTTAAAGATCTGTTTATTAGAGAGGCAGAGTTACAGACAGAGGGAAAGACAGATAGAAAGGTCCTTCATCAGCTGGTTCACACTTGAAATGGCTGTAGTGGCCCAAGCTGTGCCAAGCCAAACTTGGGAGCCAGGAGTCCCTACCCATGTACCCACGGTTCTGCATGGGCATGCAGATGTCCAAGCTCTTGGACCATCCTC